AATAAGAGTGAATTATGCGCTATTTTTGGTGTGGACAAGGAGTTTTTTTCAAAATCAATGTGTTGTGCTATGCTCTAAGCCTAAACATTTTTTGCATTTGAGTCTAGTCTCAGCTTTCAGAACGTGAAAAGACTTTTAAAGTTTCAAACAAGAATTAGACCTTGCAATTTTGTCAACATCCATCATTACTAGTCAAGTAAGTACTTTACTTTTCTTTCATCACTTTTACTTTTGTTTATTTGTTTACTTTTACGCTTTAATTGTTATGTAATTTATAAGCAATTACTTTGTCTTCATATTTGTTTGCATTATCTATTCGTTTATGTATACTTATACTTATTTTTATTTCTTGAAAATATATGCCATTAGGCTTATACTTGCGCTTATTTCTCGTTTTAACAATTTTTCCTATTTTTTTTTAGCTTTTTTGCATAACTGTTTATTTCCCAACCAAAACATGAGATCCTTAATCAGCAGCATATTTTGGTTTTGGATGGAAAATATGCAAGTGATGAATCTTTAAGATCTCACTCATATGATAGTTTACTTAATCCTGTCGTTAACACGTGATTAAAAGTTTACATCTGAATGACATTTGCAAAGTAAAACAGATAAAAACATCTCAGATTTCAAAATTTTTGAGTATTCATTTCTGAATACTCAAATATTTTTCATCCTAAATTATTTGCATTACTCAATATTTTATAAAGGAACATTGTGCTTAAATACTGAGCTAAAGTCTCTAATTGAATTTAGATAAAAGAGTAATTATGTAAGCCAGTTAGTTTTTCATGCAATAGAAGTATTTCTAATTTGAAAATTATTTTTATACAGAATTCCACATTCCAGTACTATAAATTAATTCAGTCGTAATTTTTAATTCATATACAATCCAAAAAGATAATGTTTGTGTACTTAAGTAAATTCAATTGATTTTTTATAACAAATTTGTATTTTAGAATTTAAAATTTTATTATAAAATTGAAATTATTGGTTAGAATTATACGTTTATTAAGTGAAACTTGCATCGCAGTGTTGTCGTATTTTATTATTCAATTGTATTATTTTGACAAAGTCCGAAAATTTAAGCACTATGATATTGGACATAATTTTTTTTTATAACTTTCAGATTGATTGCTTCAATTTTTCCATTATTTTCTAAATTGATAAAACTATTCGAGGATATACACAATCAACGAAACATTCTTTTGATAATACTAAAATTATTTTGCATACGCAAACATTACTTACAAATATGCGATATAATTTTAAAGACAGTCTCTTTGTTATATAAAAATTTGATAAATTTGTATATTTTTCATGCATATCATTTCAGCAAAATTAATTATGGCACCAACACAGTTTAGGCCTGAAACTTTACTACGAAAATATCGTATAAAACATCGGTTGACTAGAAACCTTTTATCTGAATGTTTTGGAACTTTCTTACTACTGGTTAGTTAATTTTATAGGCATGATATTTTTCACAATTAAAGGCAATGAATTTTTGATAAGAAAAAAAAGACTTGCAAATAATCTTTTATTTATTTGTTTCATTTCATTTCAAATTGTTTAATAAATAATCTTGCTATAAAAGCTTTAGGCAGAGTTTTAAGTTTTCGTATCTGTCAAACAGGAATTTTATTATCTAATTTTGCAACATAAATAATAAATTTGAAGTTTTTTCCATTCAAAATAAATGTGTTATTTTTCAGTTCATTGGAACAAGCATTATAGCACAACTGATTTTATCAAGAGAAAAACTAAACACATGGATTCAGATAAACATTGGCTGGGGTCTTGCAATTACTTTTTCAGTATATGCTGTGCACAAACTTTCGGGTAAGATTTTGCGTTAATTTACTGCAAATAGCATTTTTGATAAATACCAAATTATACGCATGAAATTGTCTTTTTTAATGCTATTTTAAATCGGATTTAAGAGATTATAATGAGCTTGCAATAATGTTGTAATAAAATAGAAGTTTTCACTATGTAATTAATTTAAATAGAATTGCATTTTAAAAAAAAATTGTATGTCTTTTGTTTATCAAATTATATTTTATTATAATAATACAGTTTTTTGTTATAATTAGGGTATTTTAAAAAATAAAAGTAATTTCATGTGAAGTTAATGAGATGGAGTTTTTTTTTTTTTTCAGGTGGACATCTAAATCCAGCAATATCACTTGTTATGTGGACATTTGGTCATTTAAAATTTTTTGAATTCATTCTCTACTCAATTGTTCAAGTAATTGGTGCTTTTATAGGTGCATGGGCTACTTACCTTGTATACTATGGTAATAATCTTTGTCGAAGTATTACAACACTATGTTTTAACTTCATAAAATTTTAGTTTCAAAACAGTATTCATATATCTTAATATTATTATAGTAATTCAAATTGTAAAATTTGCATACGTTTAAATTATAATTTTTAATTAAATAGAAAAAATAAATCATAACAGTTTTGTTTTGTCAAAAATGTTAATATCAAAAAGTAGGAAATTAATATTTTTTCGCTTTTTTCATATGCAATAAATGAATTTGATGGTGGAACTCGAACAGCTTTTGGTCCCAATGGTACTGCAAATATTTTTGCAACTTATCCTGCTGAGTATCTCACAGTTTTTGGTGCTTATATAGATCAAGTAATTAATATTATTTTTGTCGGAAATTTTGTAGTTCTTTTTCTGTTATGATTATATGTTACAAAATTATATTCAAAATTTACTTCTATATCTATCATAGATCTTCAAATCAATAGTACTTACGTTTCTTTATAATCATTGAATAGTAATATTTCAAATAATAGTTACTATTCAATAAATGAAGTAATTTATCACAAAATAATAGATTGTTGGTACTGGTTTTTTGGCTTTCTTTGTCGCAGCTATCACAGATAAACGTAATAAAATCCCTGGATGGACACATCCAATGTTTTTCGGTTTTTTGGTGCTTCTTATTGGCACTTGTTTTGGAATGAATATCGGTTATCCACTTAATCCAGCTCGAGATTTCGGTCCTCGCATTTTCACGTACTTTATTTACGGTTCCCAAGTCTTCACGTAAGTACTTTTGCTTACAAATTTTCTGTAATATTCGATAGTAAACAAAACTAAAATGTTAACTGACGCAAGTAATGCTAAATATTTTAATTAGATCAATTAATTATTAAAAAAATTTGTGTAGAATGTAGTGCTTTTTAAAAAGTTTTTTAAATTATTTAACTTTTAAGTGTTTTTTTCTTAATATTTCCATTTATGATTTTCATTAATATTAACTCCAAAACACAAAATACTTTATTTTTTCATTTTTTAAATTTCGAATGAATGAAATTATTGCAGGCACCCTTATTCTACATGGTTTTTGGTACCAATAATTGCTCCAATGGTTGGTGCTGTATCATTTGCATGGGCATATCATCTTTTCCTTGGTATGCACATTCCAAATGAAGAATATGACGTAGTACATCAGAACGAATTAGAAGATCGTGAAGCCATCATGATTAAAAAATGATTATGCTAACTTTGAAAATCGACATAAAAATATGTGTTTCAAGTTTTATCATTGCTTTGAATTTGCTTGAACTGCTTTTTTTTTGCAAAATGGAACCAGTATTATTTTTTTAAAAGTTTGAAGGACTCAGATTAATGGCTGCATGATGCAACTAGTAAAAGTTTTATTCACACTTAGAATAGTCTCAGCTAATAAAAATTGTTTTTTAAAAGAGGTAAAAAGTATTTAACTTTTAACTTTTTTTTCTTAATATTTCCATGCAAAATTTTTACTAATATTAACTTCAAAAGCACAAGCAAGAAGTTTAAACTATTATTCTATAGTGCTATTGTTTCCATGGCATTATTAGTTTTGGCTGTTTTAAGATGATTTTTTTTAAACTTCCAAATATTATTATGCTATTAATAACTTTGCTTAAATGATTAAAAAACTCATTCTTTGAAAAAAAGAATAAAAAGGACATGACAGCCTTAAAATTTTATTATTTGAGTTGTTCTTTATATGATTGAAATTATAGTAATAATATTAATTTCATTATTATTATTAATATATAATGTGCATAAAAATGCATTGTGATGCTCGGTCGGGATTACAACTGCATATCATGCATATTTTACATGATAACAAAATTATCAAGCCTATTCAGGAGTCTAAATTTTATTCTATAGATCTTGTTAAGTTTTTATTCAGTTTTTTTCTATGCACTGTAATCATTTTTACTGATCATAAAGCATTAAACAGTAAATAAAGTTATCAGTGTTAGTTAGTGATCACAGAAATAAAATGAAAATTCCACCACAATTACCAATTTTCAAAGAAAAGTTTTCGGAAGTTTTATTTTTCCTTTTTGAGTCATAAAAACATCTTTTTTATTTATATTTTTCATTTTGAAAGTTCAAGAAGTATAAATTTCTAATTTGATAAACTAAACAATGACAAACCTTTTTATTGCACATGAAAAAATAATATTTGTGACAAAATTTTCGCATATCTTTTCATAGTCAATGTATTACTGATGTTTTTAATTACTTATTAAGTTTTGTTTTTTGATAATAATTATTTCTGCTAGCTATTTTTCAACTTTGTTATTTTTACTTGTCGCTGGAAATTATTTATCAAATATATTATGGCAACTGCGTGTTACCTATTAACTATAATTTTAAATTTTCAACTCGTAGATGAAATGAGCACGTAAGTTAAACTAATTTTCATGAAATTACCCTTTTTATCACGCAGTTTTCATTAAAAAGTTACATTTTTTACATCAGTCATTGTTTAGTCAGTTTTTGATTTCTTAATTAATTGATAGGTAGGTCAATGCTATGTTCTACAAATTCACAATAAATTAATTTCCATTTTCTTACAATAAATGACTTCATGTATGAAAATCTTTAACGATAATTCTGCTATCACAGAATAATAAATCAAAATAATAAATTTTGATCTAATTTACTAGAATCGAAAAAAAGATACTAAATATCAACAAAAACGAACTGAATCAAATCACTAAAAATTTGTTTGCCAATTATAGCAAATGTATTTATTTGAGTAATGTTTAATCAAAGTTTCAATATTAAATTTGTAAAGAAAAAAAATTGATTATAACAAAAATTTGATTTAGAACTGCATATTACTATAATTTAACAAGAACAAGTTGCAAAATGTAAAAAGTTTGCTGAAATTTTCACTCGAAAAAACAGGTTTTTGAAAAAATCGCAAAATTTTCAGAAAATTATTCCCAAAAATTTTCACTTATTGTTCTGGTGTAACAAAAAAAAAACCAGTTTTAAATAAGAAAATTCGTTCATTATTAAAATAATTTTATATAACTATATTTCTAGATAGTATGATTTTAAACATTCTCTCAAGATCATTCATTCATTAAATTGTGGTTAACAAATGCAAAATCCTGTTGTTAATTTAATTTAATTAGGTCCTAATTTTGATAATTTTTTTTAGAAATACTTGTCTTCAACAAAAAAGAACCTGATTTGCAGTATTCTACAGAGGTTATTTTTTTCATTGAATCCATATGCAAAGAGTAATTTATTAATATTTTTTTCTAATTTTATTGAAATTGTATGATAATATTGAAATTAATTAACTAATTACTGATAAATAATAAAAATTTAGATTTAGCTTAGTAACTGTTTAAAAATAATAGTTAAAATTATGTACAAATTTTCATTTTGTAATAAAAGCAAAAGTGACAATTGCATTAAAAGCAAATAAAAAGTAATGCATTACTTTCATGCATATATTTGATAGTGAAATACTATAATGCAAATATCAAATTTTGATCTTTTGTAAATTTAAAAAAAAACTAGCATAGATCTTTCTTTTTTTGCAAAAAAAACCAGCAAAAAGTTCTTGCATAATAAATCTGTTGTTTTATGCAAAAGTAATTTTATAGTAACTTTTTTGTAATCAGAATTTAGTCTAAATATTTGTGATAGATACGATAGACTTAAATGATAAGTAAATACAAGTTATGCCTTGTTCAATAGTGAAGAGCATTCGAGAAATGTTGAGAAAAAGCGAAAAATACTTATATTACATTAATTAATGAATGCCGCGTACTTTTTTGTTTGTAGCGCAAAAATGATTTCAATATTGAATACTGGTAGTGATCACGGTGATGAACTGCATAAAAAATTGGAAAGAACGACAAATTTGCTACAAAATAAACAAAGTTTGTCTGCATTTCCTTTTTCTTAGCAATCACTTTCAATTTTTGAATTTTGAACCTTTTTTTTTTCTTTTTTTTTGCAAAAATATCACACTCATTTAAGTCCTGATAGGGAATTAAGAAAAAAAAATTGCAATATTTTAGTTTCAAGAAGGTTAAACAAAGCTTCGTTTAGAAATTAAAAACTAATTTAAAATTTTAATGCATATTTGATAAAACAAATAAATAAATGTTTTTTCAGGATTAGTAAATGCTAAAGTACAGTATGGATTGAAAATGGATGATCAGTACTTTCAGCCAATACTTAAGAATTCCAAGAATATTTAATTAGAGATCAGATTGATTGTTTTACTATATATAATGATATTATTAAATTCTTCTATACCGTCTGGCAAAGAACTGAAATTACAACAATAATAGTTATTTAGTTTTTATTATTTTCGTTACTTTAATTATAGCACTATCACTGTTAAGCTATAATTTGATTCAAAGTTCAATTTAATTTAAATATTTCAGTTTATCAGACTGCTATATTATCTTTTTAATTTAACTTATAAGCATTCTGTATGTTCTATGCATTTTGCAATTGTTTAAATGCTTTAGTTTAATAAATTGCACTGTTATTATGAAAAATTATAAATTTTTTGAAATGCCAAATTTGGTATTTTTGAAGCGAAAATGAAAAAAGGAATAAATTGCAAAAATGAGATCATTTGTGATTTACTCTAATTTTGATCCAGTTTTGTAATTTTGAAAATACCGTTTTTTTCAGGTTGTGTCCATTGTAAATATGTTAATTTTAGTCATATTTATTATTTGTAGCTATTCCACGAAAATAGTGATGATGCTGAATATCAGTTCATAAATTACTCATTTTTCTACTGTATATACTTGTTGCAAATAATCTTAAATCATTTTAACGTTTACTAGTAAAATGATGAATTTTGGTAGCATTATAATTTCAATTACAATAAATGAAATATTACTGAAATTTTTTAAAGTAACAAATAATGAACATTTTTAACTAATCGCATGGGGACCAACAATATCCACTGCATAGTTGAAAATATTAATTGGATGACAGCGTTGTTTACTAAGATATGCAGCAGCATTGTAATTATGCAAATATTGCTCGGAAAAATTGATCAACTTAAAATATCGATCAGCCAGCGATCGAGTATTAATCCAGCTAAATTCAGGCATTGCAACAGTTTGATGAAGAATGAAAGCTGTAGACAAAAAGAATGAACGAAACTGTTCGGCAATTTCCAATTCAGAAAGCTGAAATTAGAATGAAATTATTTTTAATTTGACAAAATTACTGATTGACTACAATGATATTAGCACAAGAATTATAATGAAAATTGATTACTTTCTTGGTTGCTTTTTTCTTAAAAATTTCCCATAGTTTCCAAATTATTTCCATCATATCAGGTTGATCAGCAACAGCTGGGAATATTGATAAGAACGGTTCACCTTTCAGTGCTAAAGTTAACAAAAACTTTGTAACAATCTAAAAATTAAATTTTAATGGTTTTGTTTAGTAGTTACAACTTTCAAGAATTATACAATTGCATTTACCTGCAGTATTACAGCTATTCAAGTTTTTCGTCAAAAACTGGCCTAATAATCGCCGGTAGTAAAAAAACATTGGCACATATAAAACATTACACAAAATAACGTCTGGCAAAGAACTAAAAATACATCAACAATAATTATTAATATTATCATTTTTATTATTTTCATTATTTTAATTATTACACAATTCCTGCTAAGTTAACAACAGTAGTATTATAATTAAATATTATTATTACTCATTCGTTTCAAATTTTTAATACTGAAAATATATTTTAACTTACAGTACAACTTTTTCTGAAATTATTTTATATCAAAAAACGGAAAGTAATTGTAAAAAATTTACTAACTCCACTTCATGAAGCATATTATCTGGTACATTCAATATGCGAAAACTCATTTGAATAGGCGTACTTGCAGAAATCATTTCTGCAATTTCAATCAATCAATCAATCAAATATTTACCTCCTAACCTTTATTTGTTATTTAGTAACTTTGCAAATAATGCCAAACTAACAGATCAATTTTTAAATAATTAAAATGTAGATCCAAAATTTCAGCTCTCTACTACAAAATTACAATTCAAAAAATTAGTAAATTTTTGAATCTAACTTTATATATAATCACTGTCATTAAGATATTTTGTTACCTTTGATTCCTTTTGATTACCAAACTACTTTATTATAAGTAATAACTTTGCAAAAGTAGATTTATTTGAAAAGAACTAGATATTAAT